GGGGGGGGGAGAAGTATTTCAGAAGGGGCCTCCTCTAGTTTTCTGGAGAATAAAAGGAGAGGAGGGGAGAAATATTTTCAGTCTTGCAAGATTCTGTAACCTTACAATGAAGATATACTTAGCATTCATAGTTGTGCTTCTTGTCTGGACTACCGTGAAGAGCTAACATGTCCCAAGCAGGCTCAGGATAAAGTCATTAAGTGTTTTAGTCTCTTAACTTTGGGTTTTTACCTCAATTCTGAAGCAATCTGTTTTTTAATTCTTTCTTGAACATGTAAAAATTCTGACAAAAATGAATGAAAGTCACATTATTTTGAGCCTAGCCCTTTGTTTCAGAAGAATTGGAGACTTCACTATATCTGAAAGACAGACAAGAGAATAGCAGGAGTAACCTAGGGTCTAACTGAGACTAGGGTTCCCCTAATTTTGGGTTTGTGTACCCAAATCTCAGTCTGAGCTAATTAGAAAAAAAACTCAGTACAATTAGTTTTGTTTTCTAATAGCTTTTCCTTTTTTCCCCTATTTTGCCAGATAGCTGGATATAGCACTTTCAAAGATGTACAGTTCATTGATTTTTTTTTAAAAAAACCTCCTTATTAAAAACAGTAAGAATACAATAAGCACTAGGTTAGTTTAAAATTATTTACAGTGAAAGATAATTTATCAGCAAAAATGTTCAAAAGTTCCACTCAACATACCTATTGGGATAAAAACAACTTCACATTTCTTCTATGTTTTTTTTAAAAAGCTAGATCTCAGAAACAGTAGGGGGGGGCATTTGAAGGTGAGGATGCCATGATGAAAACTTACACATCTTAAATGCAATTATCCTGCTTCAGTGCGGCATGGGCAAAACCTCATGCTGATATTCATGCCAATGTTTCCTCCTCAGAACAATATCCTGGTTGTGAAGGATGATGTGAATCACCCCATGGCTATTGTCAGTTCCACTAAAAGCAGGTGAGTGAGGGGAAGTGGGGTATAGGTGGGCAAGATGCCTTATCAGGGCTGGGCGGAGGGGGAATGCCAGCAAGACAATTGTCAAAAAATTTCCACGCTGGTTTGGTTGAAGAGGCAGCCATCCGGTCAAGGAAAGAGTATTTGCTAATATTGCAAACCTCTTCCCATTCCTCTATTATGTCAGATCCTAAAGTGGCCACCTATATCCTGTGCACACAGAGAAAAATACAGGCACGTGCACAGGCAGAAAAATTTGGAAGGCAACCCCTTAATCCTGCCTGATGAATACATCTACAAAGCTGTTCCCCAATGCCCTTAACCATTTTTGCCTGTTGTGAAAAAACCCAAATGTCGCTTGCTCCAACTGACATAGGGGCTACATTCTTTGTGTGAGAGAAGCAGGAGGTCTTTTATACAAAACAACTCTAGAGTACTGCTGATTGTTTTAACTGCACTGCAGAGTTGAAAAGAAATAAATTGTGGAATCTGCAGCTGAGTTCATCCAGATTTTTATAACTCTGTCAATAAGACTGGCAAGGGAGAGGACTTTTAATCAGTTTTAACTTGCTTATATTTCACTAAGATGTCTACCCACGTTCGTTACACAAAGAACAGGCAATTTAAGTTCTCCCTGGACTACACTACTTTGGTTGGCATGAGGGGTGGGTTGGAGAAAAATCACGTGCTGAATTCTATTTGCTACAGGAACCGCTGTTTGTATAGATTATTTCTTAATGATGTTAAGCAAAAAAAGACTCTCCCCGATATGAGACATGTCACAAGGGCTAGGCAATTCCATCTGGGATATTTATTTATTTATTTATTTTATTTGTCCCCGCCCATCTCCCCACAATGGGGGACTCTGGGCGGCTTACAACATACTAAAAA